GATCACGGGCCTTCTCAGCCTCCATAATTGCACAAGCCCATCCCTCATAATAAATCTTTTTCTGTATATTTTTATATATCCTATTCTGTTTCTCTGGAGAACCGTAATATGCATAGGAAAAGATGTTTCACCTCATTCGTAACAAGAACAAACACATGCTAATCAAAAGAAGATCTCATTTTTCACCTTGTGGGTTGTCACAATTACTAAGTTGGATAATATGCAATCTGTGTGAGGATATGGGAAGACAGATGCTCATATATATACTAATAGTGGGTATGTCATTGATATAACTGTTTTGGAAGACAGTTTGTCAGTGTCTTTCAACATTTCGTATGTAAATTTCTTTTGATGCCCTAATTCCACTACTAGGAATGGACTTTCAGAATATTTGTGCGAAAGTAAGCCAAAATATGTGGAATTGTATACTCACTGCAGCATTGCTTCTAACAGCAAGAATAAAATAACACAAAACTGGAAACTACCTAAAATACCGGGAATGGGCGCTAGTTAAAATTGTGATAAAGAAGCTCAGTGGAATTCTAGATAGCCATTTTTAAAAATGAAGTGTGTGTGCCGATATGGAAAGATATATTAGGGAATATTTTTATATATGAAATGCAGAATTCTCCCCCTGAAAATGTTCACAAGGTACTTTGTAGTTTTTCTTGGGAGAGAAGAATGAGTTCGTGGAAGGAATATGAGAAAAGAAATAGTATAGATGCTCAATAAATATCAAGTACACATTGTACCTTTTCATGTAGTTTGATTTTTACCTCATACATCCATTGCTTTTATTTTAAACTCCATTGGTAGGGGGTGAAGGGAATCAGTAACAACAAAAGAATAAAAGAAATTGCTTTCTGTGGTTGAGTATAAATTCATCTTTGAGCTTCCTAATAGCCCAGGCAAAGAAGGAACGTTGATAAGGAAATACAAAAAATGTATCAGGAAAGAGAAACATTTTCTTGATCTTGATCTCTGAAAGGACTGTGGCTGCTGAGGAGATTGGTGTAAACTCAGATCCAATGCTCTCTCTCCCCAGCTTAAAATTCACTGGTAGGCCCTTGCCCCTGTTCTCCATGGTCAACCTTTGCCTTCCTCACTGGCCTCCCCTCTGCCACATGGACATGGCACTCCATTCAAACTGATTCAAACTGATCTTTGCATGTATTGTTCCTTCTGCCTGGAATGTTCTCTCCTTTTCTCTGTCTTGTTGGCTGTGGCTCTTCTTTGTTTTTTAAGATTTTCAGTTGTTGGTTATGTCCAGTGGGAATCCTTGGAAGTCAGTTGTGCCTCCTCTATGTTGCCCACGTCCTGTTTGCCTCCCTCAGTAATGGAACTTGTAACAGTGCTGTAATTGTTTCGTTTTTTTCACCAAATGAGGAGCTCCTTCAGGTTAGGGAGGCTGTGTTGTTTGTTTTTGGCCCTGAACACTCAGCACTTGCTAGGCACAGAGGTAAACTGGTCAGTGAATGAGGGAGTGAGTAATCCGAAGTTTGAGTTCTACCTCTTTCACCAATTAGCTGTGTGGACAAGTCATTTCTCTCTGGGCCTCAGTTTTTCCATCATACAATGAGAAATTTGGCTCAAATAATCGATGAGAGCTTTGGCTCTGATTTTTTTTTTTCCTTCCTCTGTAGTTGTCAGATTGTCATGTATATAATACCAGGATGTTGTCACCAGCTGTCGTACTAAATAATTCCAAAGTTTCAGAACTGATCTTGTTAGAATTCACTGCATTTGTTATGGCCTGTCCCGTATCTGTTCACCAGCTGAAGAAATCACAGCTACTTCCAGCTTGGTTGGCACAAGGTTACAGAGTTGATCCTGTCCCTCGTTCTTCCCGCCCCTAACCTTCTCTCCTTGGCATACACAAAGGTCGGAGCACTTTCCCTGAAGTGCGTCTTCACAGACGTTCCTTTCTTACCCTACTTTCTTTTTTTTTTTTGTATTTTTTTAGTAGAGACGGGGTTTCACCGTGTTAGCCAGGATGGTCTTGATCTCCTGACCTTGTGATCCGCCCGTCTCGGCCTCCCAAAGTGCTGGGATTACAGGCTTGAGCCACCGCGCCCGGCCTTCTTACCCTACTTTCTCACCCTGAGCTGAGCTCTGTTAGCTCACCGTCCTTACCTTGGGTTCATGGGGTTTTTTGTCTTCCTGTGGAGGCAGGGCCCTCTCCACTACTCTCTACCCTCACCCCACCCCAGCGAGTGACTACAGCAGATGGAGGTTCCACCAGCTCAATCCTAGCTTTACATAAAAGTTGAGAGGAAGATACTGGGGGAGCCTGGAATCTTGAGAAGGTATATAGTACCTCTGTCCACAGCATATTTTAAGAAAAATGTTGTATTTTCAATACCTAAAAAAATGGATTCTACCAATTAGAAATATGTTATTGAAATTGATGGCACCCTCAGAAAAAGCCATTTACCTACTCTCACGTACAAAAACTCTTTAAGGACCATTTTGTAACTGAACAGTTTGAAAGCATATATCAATGCAAAAGTAGTATTGCTCTGAATTGGGGGTAGGCATTATATATAGAAGTGCAAAAGGTATTTGAAGGCATTTGAAACATATCCAGAATTCAAAAGTGGCCAGTTTGCCCCCACGCCCACCTCCACCACTGAAAACTTTTATATTGATAACCTGCTTTCTTCCCATTCATTCAGCAAGTATTCGCAAAACACCTACCATGTGCCAGACATTGTTTTAGAACCAGGGATGTGGAAATGAACAGAGCAGACTTAAAATATCTGCCTGCAGAGAATTTGTGTTCTAATTGAAGGGAGATGGTGAACAAAATAAATAAATAAATAAATAAATGATAGAGTATTTTAGAAAGTAACACCTGACAAAGAGAAAAATAAAGCAGGTAAGACTTGAGAATAGCCATGTAAGGCATTGCATTTTTCAATAGGGTGGTCAAAGGGAAGCCTTGCTGAGAGGATGACAGTGGAGTAAAACCAGATTTAAAGAGTAAGCCATGCAGATAATCTGCCGAGGAACATTTCAGGCAGAGGAAATAGCAAGTGCAGAAGCCCCGAGGCAGGAACAACCTGACGTTAGAAGCAACATTTAGTCTGAGTTGGGGAGTCACTGGAATGTGTTAAACAGACCTGACTTTAGGTGTTAACCTAAGGAATCGTGCTGGCTGCTCTATGGAGATTAGGCCAAAGCAGACAAGGGTGGAAGCAGACGGACTCACTAGTAGGCTATTGACTATTCCAAGCAAGAAATGATGGTGATGTGGACGAGGGTAGTGTAGTAGCAGTGGTGGTAGTAGTCAGAAGAGGTGAGATACTGGATATGATTTGAAGGTAAAGCTGATGAGGTTTCTCGTGGGACATGTGAAAAAGAAGAGAATCAAGGGCATTTTCACTGGTTTTGGCGGGAGAAACTGGAGATTCTGGTTGCCATTAGTTAGATGGAAACCACTATGGGAAACAGGTTTAAGGAGGAAGATCAGGAGCTTATTTTTGGACATGTTAAGTTTAAAAGAACCAGCCAGGCACAGTGGCTCACACCTGTAATCCCAGCACTTTGGAAAGTGAAGACAGGTGGATTGCTTGAGGCCAGAAGTTCAGCCCCAGCGTGGGTAACATGGCTAAACCCCATCTCTGCAGAAATTAGAAAATTAGCCAGGCATGGTGTTGTGTGCCTGTAGTCCCAGCTACTCAGGAGACTGAGGCAGGAGGATTGATTGAGCCTCAGAGGTCGAGGCTGCAGTGAGCCCTGATTGTGCCGCTGCCTGGGTGACAGTATGAGACCCTGTCTCAAAATGAAAGTTAAGGAAAAAAGGTTGGTAGGATGTTAGGCAGCCAAGTGGAGAGGGCAGGTAGACAGTTGAATATATCAGTCAGCATTCAGAGGACAGGACTGACCTATAGGTTCAAATTTGTGAGTCGTCAGCATATAAATGGTTTTCAAAGCCATGGGACAAGATGAGATCACCAGGGATGTGTATATAAATAGAAAATAGAAATCTTAAGGACTCTATAACTCCAACATTAAGAAATTAGGGAAGCGAGGGGGTGGGGGATGCTTATTCAGTGAAGAAAAACACACTGGCACAAAATTATATCCGTGCTATAATCCGAGAAGTAAGAATGCTTCCTTGTGACCTCCATAGTCAGGTGACATTCTTGGGAACCCAAGGTAACTTTGGCATAGGAAGATGCTCCTCAGTTTTCAAATAAACTGTTGTTCACACTGTGAGCATTTTATTTCAAAATAAACTTTGTTCTGCCATTTCTCCACGAGTAGACTTTTGTCACCTCCTTTTCAAGGTCATTATTCTTGATTTTTTGAAAGTTCTTTTTGAAGAAAAGAATCTCTTTACACCTGAAGCCTGTAATATACCCTTCAATTACCCTCTTCTTCCAAGAGTAGAATAATAGTATTTCATAATAGAAGCCGCTGGGTTGTTGAACTCAGAAAGCCCTGTTAACCGTTTTGAAGTGCTTATAGTCCAGCCACCTTTAAACTCGAAGCAGGGGTGTTAGCTGCCCCAGAATGCAAGTGATAGCACTGGGTCCCTGTCATATTTCGTATTTAATTCCAGGCTGTTTACTTGGGAAAGTTATAAGGTAATTTGAGAATTCGATAGAACATGTCTCATCCATTATTTGTTCATGTCATGGCTGGTGTTCATATTCTATTCACAGGTTATTTCTGTAAAGGCAGGATTAGTTTGAGATTCTGTTGTGGACAATAAAAATCAATTAATTCCAGACGGAAAAGGAATTCTAACTTAGTTTTGATTCACTTGCTCAAGTTGTCCTTGAGGATATCATCCCTTTTGAATATATTTTTTGTGCGGTGTGAAGATCGGTTCGGTTTTTTAGTGACACAATTTAGGTTCTTGTCTTATTAATCAATAGCAGCAGTCAGAGAGGCCTACTTATCCCCCCCTCGATAGAACCAGATGAGGTTGAAGAGAGGTAATAATTACTGCTCTGATCTCAGCATGTTCTCTTTTCTCTTTCCCAACCCAGAGCATGTCTGTTCGATCCTGGCTTCCCTCCTGCGGAACCTGAGAGGGCAGCAGCGAACCCGGCTTCTGAATAAATTCACCGAAAATGACAGCGAGAAGGTGGGTGATGTTGGACTGTAAAGATGGGACTAGGACTGGTAGAAAGGCTCTTTACCTGATGTGATCTGACCACTAGGTAGTGGTCCTACCCTAGAATTCTCTTTTCTAGCATCTGGGCCCTGTTGTTTTGCATGTCAAAGGCTTTTCTGGTTATTCTGCTTTTCATCTCCAAATGCATTCTCCTGGGAGTCGTAACACCTGAGGATGATACCACTAGTAGTACTTGAGGGGGATTTTTAGACCCAAAGAGCATGGATTAGACTAGGATTTTTGTTGAGGGGTGTTGCACAGCATAGCAAAGTGATTAAGAGCATTGGCTTTGGATACAGACTTGAGATTTGAGCCTGTTTTCACCACTTCTGAGATGTGTACCGCTCTGAACCTCAGTTTCCCCAGCTTCAACATGGAGACATCAATACTCATCTTGGAGGGCCAATGGGAGGTGAATTAGATAAGGTCTTACTAAGGTGGTGGTAATAAAATGAAGATAATGATAAGGAAATGGTACAGCCTGCCTTAAATGGGCTATGGAAGCTGGGACCGCAATTACATGAGATTAGATGGAATGGGCTATGGAAGCTGGGAACACAGTTACATGAGATTAAATGGATCGGGCTGTGGAAGCTGGGAGCACAGTTACATGAGATTAGATGGAATGGGCTATGGAAGCTGGGAACACAGTTACATGAGATTAAGTGGATCGGGCTATGGAAGCTGGGAACACAGTTACATGAGATTAAGTGGATCGGGCTGTGGAAGCTGGGAACACAGTTACATGAGATTAGATGGATCGGGCTGTGGAAGCTGGGAACACAGTTAGACATGAGATTAGATGGATCGGGCTGTGGAAGCTGGGAACACAGTTACATGAGATTAGATGGATCAGGCTATGGAAGCTGGGACCGCAATTATATGAGATTAGATGGATTGGGCTATGGAAGCTGGGAACCCAGTTACATGAGTTTAGATGGATATTTTATATCTTTATCTAGTATGCCAGACGATAGGATTTTTAACAGTAATAAGAGCTACCATTTATTGAGTGACTACTGTGGATTGGATAATAGAGCAGATGACTTTCATCGTTGCATATATTCTCACAACACTGTGGTTTATTTATCCTTGTATAGTTATTATTTGCATTGACAGGCAAGGCAGTTGAAGCTTAGAGACATTATGTAACTTACCCAAGAAAGGTTTAAGACTGTCTCTTTGAGCTACCTCTGACCATTTTTTCTACCCTCACCAGGAGTATAGCATGATGAAGAGGCCTTCAAGTTAGGACACGGAGCATCTTAGTAGTCACGTCACCCTGGTGACATCATTTAACATCTGTGCTTCAGTTTCCTCATCTTTAAAATGGGGTTTGCTACCTATCTTCCCTGCACACCTTGTCAGGTGTTTTTCAAAGTTTAAGGAAATAATGGTCATGAAAATACTTTATAAGCTGAAACATTAAGGTCTTAGGGTCATCAGTGTTGGCTAAAGAAGGTGTGACCACAGTCTTCTCAGACTATCTGATGGCATGTTGACGGAACATCTCCTATTAACCAACCAGTATCAGCTCCTGGGTAAATGAATGCCAGAGTTGCCAAGGGCTATGATGGTGCCAACCTGATAAAAAGATAAGTCAGGAGTCTGGGCTGGCTTCACAGTGTTTCTTCAGTCATTTTGGAGTCTTGGGGAAAAAAACAAAACTTTTTCAAACCCACTGAGTGTTCCTCAAGCCATGTTTGAAGCATGACTTTGCTCAACTTAAAACTGATTTTTAAGTTACTGCCAAGCAAAAGTCAGGGCCTTTTTTAAAGTTGCTAAAGGAGGTTTTCTTGCTCTGTCTTCTGACTCAAAAGCAACTAAAAAGATTTGACTCAGGCATTTTTTTAAAAAGATCAGCTCTGGGGCAGAATCTGAACATGAAAGGTTTCAGTTTGAAAAAAGAAATTTCTGCAAAGTTGTAAGTGAATATCAAGTGTGTAACTTCAAGCTCCTTCTCTTGGCAAGAAGGGACTTGAATTTTTATTTATTTATTTGTTTTTAACAACGTGCATTCCTGGGAGTTCTAGAAGGGCTGAGAATGCATAGCCTCCTTTCGGGAATGGCCTGGTTCAAACTGCATTCATCCTAAGTGTTTGCTTTGTTCTGCCCCAGCCCTTTGATCCATTCCTGATGTGTCCCTAAGCAAAGCTTCTCTCATCCGCTGTAAGGAGTGCCGGAGCAGGCCTCCCTTTGTAAGGAGCGACAGTGAGATGAATAAGAGCGCTACTGTTCTCTTGCTGTGCGTTGTCTTTCCTTCCCACTCAGGCCTGTAAAATCTCTCTCTTTCAGGTTGACAGACTAATGGAGTTGCATTTTAAATATCTGGGTGCAATGCAGGTGGCGGACAAGAAGATTGAAGGGGAAAAACACGTACGTATCCCTGTCTTTCTTTTTACCAGCTATTGACTTGCCCTCCATTTGGTTCCCTTTTGTTCCTCGTATCTCCCCACAGGATAGGTAAGGACAGCAGTGCCATCTAACATGTTGTAAAAGTAGAGCAGATGATGGTCTGCCAAGTGGTTATGACTGCCCTTCTGACAACAGTGACAGCCTTTCAGGAAGAAGTATGTGTAGTATCCATCCAGGTCTGACCTGGGAGTCTGGGTGGACAGCACAGGCACCCTTGACAAGAGCTTCTCTTCGAAAATCTGCCCAAAGTACAGGGCTCTGACCTGGTACCATGTTGGCAGAGCATGTCTTAGTACTCACACTTGCTGGCTTCTGAAATCCTGAGGGAGGCATGCTGAGGAAGGGTGATCACAGGGTAGAGGAGCTGGAAGAAAACTGAATGGTCCTGGAACCCAGTTACCCCATTTACAGATGGAAAACTGGAGACCTAGAGAATGGAAGCTCAGATGCATTGCAGCCAAGCCAAACCACAGGTTCTGAAGGGCTAACTCTTGTTTTCTCATGTTGATGGCTGCTGAGAGAAGGGACACCTGCTGGACGTTTTTTCTTGAGGGACTCTGCTTACTATGGTGTTACCCCACCCTCTGTGTTTTTTACTTCCTTCCATTTTGTTCTCTGCCTTCTCTGGCCACTGTAGCTTTCCATCTGTGTTCCTTAATCAGGGTAAGTTTTCCTGTCACTGTTTAATGTCCGATTCGTATTGACTCTCCTACAAGATACTTCTCAAGTCTTCAGTCACATTATAAAATGACGCCTGGCTTACTTTTTTCCAAGTCTACAGGAGACCTCATTTTCCTTGTGATCTTGTTTTGCTGCATCACTCCATCCTTCTTTTCAGTCTTGTCTTAAAGATACACTTGAGGCTTTTGAACTTCACTGGTGGAAGAACTAATTTTAGTATAGCCCTCCCCTCCCCTGTGTTGGGACCATTCGGCTAAGGCTTTCGTGTGCATTGGGAATTACACCAGCATTTTCCTTCAGGGCATGCCTCAGGCCAGAGTGAGAGACTAGGGCTGGGGAGATGTGGGGAGACAGTGGCCTTGTTACCTGTGTCCTGTTTCTCTTTGCCACTTCTTATCCCCCTCTCCCCTTTCATAAAATATACCTTCATTCATGAACCCCAGCAGATAGGTAGCTGTACTTTTCATTCTTGTGATTTCTGTATGATCACTAAACTTAGTAAGTCCTCAGAAGTTTGTGGATTGATTGAATTGATTAACTGGGACTTTCTCCTTTTATACAGTGATACTACTGCAAGATAAAAGGCAAAGACTCTAAATTCTGAGGCTGGACTTTAGATACTAGCATGTTCCACCACAATTCTTTCATTCCAATTCACCCCAACCCCTTTGTTCTTCAATTAAACTTTCCGTTTCCAGCTTTTCTTCCCTGTACAGTAACTTGGACATGAAGGACACTCAGTGGTTGTTAAATTGTGGGAGTAATGTACCCCTTCTCTTTATCTGAATGATAATTAGAAACAACTTGAAATTCCCTGGACTTTTGTAAAGAAACAGCCATTAGACAGTTAGAACTGCAGCCGTGACGGAATCCCTGATGTTATCTGCTAGGGAGGTTTTGAGGGGTGGCAAAAGGAAGACCTGGGAGTCAGGGGACCTAGGATTTAAGAGCAAGCACCACCTTTAAATCACTGCCAGCTATGGCTTGTCACTCTGCCTCATGTAGCCTCAGTTTCTGGGCTATAACCTGATACTGGGCAAGGTGATCCAACCCCTCGAGCTTCCTGTTTTCCCTCATTCCCTCAGGTTAAGTTAAACACCCTTTGGTAACTCTGCCATTTTTGGACAATGGAATGGATTAAAAGCACAGTGATAGGTTGGTCAGTGACTGACTGGTCTTCTAGATAGAGGTGCAGTCTAGTAGAAAAGGTAATCTTGCCACTTCTAGCTCTGAGATCTTGGACAATCGAGGTGACCTTCCTAAGCTTTATTTTCTCATCTGTAAAATTAGAATAAAAACACCTCCCTTTGGGCCAGATGCGGTGGTTCACACCTGAACTTTGGGAGGCCAGACAGCCTACCTTTTTAGGGTAGGCCTAAAACTTTGGAAGGCCAGGGCGGACAGATCACTTGAGGCCAGAATCCTGTAATCCCAGCTACTGGGGAGCCTGAGGCCCGAGAGGTCACTTGAGCCTTAGAGGTGAGGGTTGGAGCAAGCCGAGATTGTGCCACTGCACTCCAGTCTGGGTGACAGGGCGAGACCCTGTCTCAAAAAATAAAAACAAAACACCTCCCGTTAAAGGTTATTATGAAGACTAAGCATAAAGTATAGAAAGTACTTCGCTCAGTAAGTAGAAGCTGCCGCCGCCGCTGCTGCTGCTAGAATTTCCTAGCTTCCTTTGGAATTCTTGTGTAACTTTTTAGTAAGGCAGACAGTCCTTTTCCTGAGAGCATTCTCCTTACCAGAAGGAGTCGCCTAGCAGAACAGTGTTGGCACCGTCAGATGCTTTGTTTGAGGTGCAGCTTAGACTTTTTTTGAGGGAGACCGGATAAGTGGCTGGGTGTCAGGGAGCAGCTTGCTCGTAGCTGTTAGGAAACTTGGCCTGCTTCCCAAAAGATTATCTATTATCAGCATTGAAGAGGGCGTGAAATTGATTAGCACTGACGGAGAGTAATCGCTGCAGCCACTCTCCCAGCATTCACAGAGCTGCTGTGTGCCACGGGCACCGGGGCCCTGCCGTTCCCTGACAAACATCTGTCTCCTTGATGCCAAGGCCGTTTTGCTGGGCACTGGCAAACATTCCAAGGCCATTAGTGCTCAGCAGCCTCAGTGTTATGCAGAGAGCCAGGGCGGGTAGGGGTGAGGGATGAGTTTGTGAGCAGCGTTTGCTGCCAGCACTCAGGCGCCATCCTAGCAGATGAAGCCGCCTCACAGGTGTAAAGTGACTTAGAACAACACGACCTCCTTTTCACCTCTGCCTCATGCCGTGTGCTCTCTGAAGTCGCAGACAGTTTGTCTCCTCACCCCCATTAAATTTGAATGTCCTACACCAATTGGGAGCTCAGCAAATATTTGTTGACTTGAATTGAATGCTTATTTTTCGGGCATTTTGATGACATTGACTATCAGATCAGTAATGAATAATCTCTCACATACCTCACCAAGTCTGCAACCAAAAAACCTAAGATAACAGGCTCAAGTATTGGTATTTTTATTGTCTCAGCCATCACCTTCCCTGTGAACTTCAGACTTCTCTGGGTGCAGTGCAAGTGCCCATGGTTTGCAGTTGACCAGGTCACTAGAGAGAATCTAGTCATTTGGCAAATGTTGATGAGGTGCCTGCAAAGGCAGGCACTGACTGGGGGTGAGAAGTAAAAATGCCAAGAAAAGAATGGGCCTAGGGGTGGTGTTACAGCCGAGGACTGGAGGGTCCAGGGAGTGGGGAGAGGTCATCTAAGGCTGGAGTCACCCTAAACTCTAGGGGGGCTAGTTTTGTGGCTGAGCATTCGTGCTGAACCTAAAAAGGTAGGGATGTCTAGGGCATTTCCAGTCTGGAGTGAAACAGCAAAGGAGCAGCAGTGGGAAGCCAAGTGAAGGCGGAGAGGAGGGGTACCTTCCACTAGTGGAGGGTGTGAGAGGAAGAGCATGGGCTTTATAGCCAGGCTTTTTCCTGGTTCTCCGACTGGGCAAACAATTGAACTGGCCTGTCCTTATTTTCTTCCTTGGTGGTGTTTGGTTTGTGTTTAAGGTGTATGTCCCAGTTTGTGTACTTTGAGAAGTTATGTATGTAGGGATATGATGTCAGTGAATGTATTATGCACGAAAGCTGCTTGCACAGGGCCTGGCACACAGAAGGTGGTCAGAAAACCTTTAGCTTTCTTTTCTCTACAGGGACTGTTTGCGTCCTCACTGCCCCGTCCCTGCACACATGCACACACCCATTGTCGTGATTGCCTGCTACAGGAGGTTTTGCATGACTTGACTCTTCCCTGCTTCTCCAACCCCTTCTCCTGCCACTAGGCCCCTCCTGCCACACAGCCTTTCTTTCCTTCTTTACATTTCCCACTCCCTTCTGCCCTGAGCCTCCTCTCTCTGCTGTTCCTTCTGCTATCAGGTCTCAGTAAAATGTCGCCTCCTCAGAGAGGCTTTCAGTGATTACCATATGTAAGCGAGCCCTCTCCCCCTAGCTGCTTCAGAACCTGTAATTATTTCATTTATTTGTTTACGCTCTATCTCTGGGACTGTAATCTCTCTTGTTCATCATTTTCTCAGGACATTGTGCCTGACATTCAGTAAATGAAAGACCACTGCTCAGTAGGTGAAATTAGTATCTGTCTGTGAGTGTTAAGGAAGATAGGGCGAGTCACCCTGGGCTTTCCACATTATTTCTTAACACTAATTTTTAACCCTGATTTGTGTTTTCTCTGTGATTAGACCCGTCACTAAAAATATTTAAGTACGGTTTTGTGGATTCTGTGGCATAACTGTAGCAATATTTAATAACGAAAAATACTTGGAAGAATCAACAGGACTGAGAGATAATTGTATACACATTTAGTTCAAATCGCGTATTACAATAATCTGTAACTAGCAAAGACTTCCATGTCCTGGGCAGTGGCCTTCTGCTTTTATGTTGTATTCAAAGTCTCTGAGATTCCAGGGCCATAATGTCTCTGGACATACCCTAGTGGTTTCTGGTGAACAAGATTAGGCCTGAACTTTTCAAGGGCATGTAATTCTTAAGACCCATCTAGTGAGCAGCAGTTCTTGTGGTCTGGAAATATCCAGGGTTCTTGTCTCAGCAGATTTCACCTGACTCCCCAAATGACTTGAAGCCCAGAAAATACTAAGACGCCTGTTGTTGGGAAGGCATCCTGACTTCTTGTGGATTCCTTCCCGTTTCCATTGGCTAAATGTACAGAGCGTGCCTGGCTTTTGGCCGTCAGAAGGAAGACATAATTATACAGGTACTAGCAGGGTTTTTCTAAAAGAGGGAGGAG